CTGGAGCAGAGATGGACACTAACACCAGGCCCCAACACCTGGACCCTGGCTGTGAGCCTGCCCCAGAGCCAGGCCGATGCCAGCCTCAGCTGTGTGGTCAGTAATCCCATGGACCAGAACAATGCCACCTCAGACCTTAGTGACATCTGCTCACGAGGTGAGTGCCACCTTCTGGAGGGGAGGGTATCCCAAAGCTCAGGGAGCAGCGGCAACTGGAGATCCCAGGCTTTTCTTCTGCCCTGTTCATTAGCACCACCACCTACATATGGCCACCCCATGCAGGAGTCTGAACACACTTCCATTGCACATCGGCCTGTAAATGTCCCTCAACCCCTGCCCTTTCCTGCGGTCCAGGCAGCAGCCACACAGTGCCTCTCCCACCCCATCTGTTGTTCACTGTGGGTATCAAGGAGGCTGTGGGAAAGCAGATCAGACCGTGGCATGTGTCAGGGTCATCACTGGCTCTGACCTTCAGTTACTCCCTGTAGCACCCAGGGCTCACGAGTCCTCTGCCCATGTTGTCCACTCACGAGTACACCTCACACAAAACTGCTGCTGTAGTCCCAGTTTGTGTAGTTTGTGTGCTGCCCTAGAGAGCCTTGAAAGTGTCACCTCTTTGAGGTTGTCCACGCCACTACACACAGCAATGGTCTGTGTATTTGAACCTTCTGTAAACCAGAATGCCTTCAGGGAAGAGAACATTTTTTTTTCTTTCTTTGGTCTCTGGGCCAAGTATTCTGAAAACCTTTTGCTTACATTAGGTATTTTATTGAATGACAGAATGACCCGGGAGCTGTGTGCAGCATTGTCTTCTAACCCTTTGTCTAGGAGCTAGTATAGACATCTGTCACGTCAGCATCAGTTCTGATCCCTTTCTCCACCCTCCACCCACCTCCTGTCCAGGAGTCTCACACAAAGTTCCACTCTTAGCACGACCCCTCGCTCTCCGGGCTCAGCTCCGGCCTCCCTGTGACCCGGCTCACCCACGGCTCCTCCCTGCCCTGCCCCTCCCCCGCGGGGATGCTCACTTCCCGCTGTATCTGTGAAGCTCCCACTCTTTCCCCAGACTCAGTGTACTCTATCTCTTTCTTTAGGAAGCTTTCTCTGAAGGCCTTGTGCAACATTAAAGCTCTGTGGTGGTGGGAGCCCTTTGTCTGGAAGCTGGTATTTTCTGTCTCCCTCCAGATGTGGCATTTCTCAAGGGCACCAACTCTGCATTGTTCATTTCTGTGTCCCAGATGGGCATCTCAGTGAATAATGAATTTTTGTGCTCCTCTTGTTCAACTTCAGAATCAGGGACTCCGACTCCACCTTTGTTTCCTCTCACTCTGGCAGTGGGTATCTTGTCTACTTTAACTGTTGTTGTTCTTCTTCTTTAAAATATATTTGGTACAACAGCTCGGACTCATAGTGCTCCTCCTGTTTTCAGCCTCCCCAGCACTGGGATTAGAGGTGTAAGCCACCATGCCTGTCTTGGTGGCCAGCTTAGGCTGCCTGGAGGTGGGGCTGGCACAGCATGCGGGACCAGGGATTGAACCCCTGTCACTGCACTTGCCTAAGCAGGTGCTTAGTCCACTGAGCTATCTCTCTGGCCCTCTTAACTGTTTTTACTCTCTCATTGTATGGGAAACAGGTATATCAAGACAGTATACAGCTAGCCTCATAGGAGGCTTACTGGGAGTCATTGTGACTGTGCTTTTGCTTCTTGGAGCTGGACTATACCTTTGGAAGATTCATAAGAAGAAGAAAATGGTGATGAAACAAGGCAAGTTGTACTTCCCCTTCTGGACTCTGAGATCTCACTCTCTCCAACTGGACCCTGGGCTCCCTTTGCTCTCCACTTTGCTGCCAGGAAGTAGGTCTTGCAGAGGTGATAGAGGGTATAAGCATGGTGGCCTTGGGTTCCTGGTGCAGGGGAACATTACTTGTTTCTCTGGCACAGAATCCAGCTCCATTCTGTCAATTACTCAGGTGCAAGATTGGAGCGGGACCAAAACATGTGTGATCATGACATCATGTATGCAGAGGTTACAGGTCAGAAATCTCAGGAGCACAAGGACAAGGTGAGATCTGGGACCAGTGGCCAGCCTGGTCACTCACAGATCACCCATTGCCCTGCCTAGGCTCCCTAATCTCAGATACTGCCTATTTCTATCTCCAAGTTCCTACCTCTATGTGTACTATGGACAGCATGAACTAAGCACAATTATAATTGACCGGTCTAGTGCTTTCTGCTTTGAAGGAATTCATAAGCATTTTGTATTAATGGACATTGGTGGTATTTAGGTGCCTCTTGGGACACTGTATCCACTTCTAACTTCTCCAGATCCTTCTGTTTTGTATATCCAGGGTACTGATGAACAACATCTAGAAGAAAAGGGGCCACTCACTACAGTCTACAGTGAGGTTGGTGTCCTAAGCAAGCCCTTGAAGATGATTTAATTGGATGAAACAGAGGACCAAGCACTCCTGGGACAACTGCACTCTGAGGCTGACACCTGCAGTCACCTACTGGCTTTGGTTCAGCTCTTGGTGCTCTTGGTCTGTAATAGGCTGACCTGGTGGCCATTCCTCCCTGAGCACAGGTGGTCTAGCCACATCTTCCAGGAGCCCCGATTGTTTCTGCACACTCAGGATCCTCATGCCTGCCTGCAGGTGAGGGTTCTTCCGCAGTTATTGACTTGGCCCTTGAGTATTCTTCTCTATTACTTGTCCCACAAGAACCCTGTCTGACCCTGCGGGGGGAAATCCCTGCCTCCACTGCTTTGTCAAAAGTCTGTGCAGAATTGTTGATGGTGCTCCAGAGGAGAGAGTTAGGATGGGTTCTGGGGCACCATTGCTGAAGGGGGCACCAGTATGGGTGGGAAATCAGCCTTCTTTTGGAGGCTTTTTATAGAGTGTGTGTGAGAGAGAGAGTGTATGTGTGTCTGTGTGCCTGGGGAGTTTCTATGGCTCCTTCCCCTTCTCTTCCTTCCCTTTCCCTCCATCTCTTTGTCCCATTCTCAATTGCAAAATATCTATCTCCCCTCTTTCTTATTTACCACCTTTTATTTTGTTCTTTATTTATATTTTGTATTTCTCATATGAGAAAAGTTATTTGATATTTAAACTTATGTGTCTGATTTATTTCACTTGGGAAGAAGATATGCCCATTGTACAGATGGCAGAATATAAGCCAGAGACTTGATGCCTTCATAGTCCTCAAGCGTGAGTGTGGTGGAGACACGATTTGGGGCCACATGATTCACTTATGCACATCATAATTCACTTATTTGGACCATCTCTCTTTACCTGTGACATCCAAATTGTCATTATTATCATTGTTAGCTTTTTCTTCTTCATTAGGCTTCAAGTCTTTCATTCTTTCCTGGTTAATTTTATGCGTCAACCTGACAGGCCTCTGGGATGTCAGCGTCATTGGTGAAGCTTTACTTCAGGTGAATCTGTTTTCAGAATTTAGCATTTTAATTACAAGACTGAGTAAAGAAGATTGCCCTCACCTATGTGAACAGAGATCGTTCCATCTCACGAGAGTCTCAATTGACCAAAAAAGGAGAATATGGGCTAATGGATTTTTCCTCTGCTTCAGTTCAGACAGCCTTCCTCTCATCACTTAGACATTGACACCTATTATTCCCGAGCCTTTGGACTCAGACTGGACATGTGCCAGCTGGTCATATACCAGCACTCCTCTGGTTCTCAGGCCTTTACATTTCAGCAGGAGCTATACTTGCAGTTCCCGAGCCCCGGCATGCACACAGAAGATCTTTGGACATTTCGGCCTCCATAGGCCCTGAGCCAATCCTCCATGTTAAAGGACTTTCCATATTATACATGTACATTATTGATTCTGTTCCTCTAAAGATTGCTAACTCATGTACTCCCTATTCTTCAGTCCAGCTGCACCATATTTTTGCCTTTCTACCAGCAATGAATCAAGATTTCTTCATGTCCATTCTAGATCTTATTATTCATTTTATTGACTACATTGGCCTAATATATGGAAGTAGTGTCTTATTCTGATTTTGATTTACCATTTCTTTAATGACCAATTTGAGTGACATTTATTCATGGCTGTATGATCATGTGTATACCTTCTTAGGAGAAAGCCCCTTCTGTCCCGAGTTCTCTGTCAGACATACATTGTCCCCACCATTTTGTTGAAACTGCTCTTGCAGGTCACCGGGAAACTCTGCATTATTAAGCCCTGTGGTCAGCTCCATGCCTCATCTTCCTTAGCACCTCAGGGCGCTGTTCTCTCTACTCACCACTCTTTTCCTCCTACTCAATAGCTGTCACTTTGTTTCTTTTCATGGGTTTCTTCTCATCTCTCCCACCTTTAATCTGTGGAAATCCCAGAACTCAGACCTAGCCCACTGAGGCCACCTGGCTTCACCATCTACCTTTTCTCTGTTCTGGCCACACTCTCCTTGGCTCCTGAGGCTTTGCCTTATATAGCAAAGTGGACTTTACGGCTGCATTCAGTGTTAGAGACCTTGAAATGGGTAGCTTATCAGGATTGTCTGAGCGGGCCCAGGCTAGCAACCTGAGATCTTAAGAAGTAGAAGATCAAAAGGCAGCAAAGTAAGTGAGAGAGGTAGGATGTGGAAGGCACTTCACTCACCATTCCTGGCTATGAAGATGGAAGAAGGCGAGTGTAGGTCAAAGAAATGTGGTTTTGTGACACAAAAAACCCTCAGTTCACAGCTCACAAGAAATGAAGACCTGAGTTTTCTTTTTCTAAATTACTATTAAGTTTCTTGGTACAATGACCACATTCATCATTGGGAATCTGTACGTGTCCACAATGTGCCAGGGTTCCTCTTTCTCCCATTTCCCTCCCCACCCTTCAGTTGCTCTTCCACTCCTTACTTATGAAGTTTTATTTCCATTTTATCTTTCCTTTCTCATTTTTTTCTTTTCCCTTTCCTCTCCTTCCCCAGCCCTCCTTTGGAATAATTTCTTCCTATTTCATAATTTCTGTTATAAGTTTTGGTTCTTATTTACACTTTAATTTTCTCATACCAGAGAGGCAATGTGATATTTACACATACACATCTGATTTTTTTCACTTAAGAATGTTGTCTCAAGATGCATCCATTTAGCTATGTCTCAAGTTTATCCTTTTTATGGTTGAATAGCTCTCCATTGTATAAAAATCCCACACCTTCTTTATCCATTCATTGGTTGATGGGCATTTGGGCTGTTTGTAAGATTTAACTATTACAGGGCCTGGGAGATAGCTCAGTAGAATAAGCGTCTGCCTGGCAAATGCAGGGTCCTGAGTTCAATCTCCAGTACTGGAAAAAAGAAAAGATTTAACTATTACAAACTGAGCTGCTATAAATACGTGTGTGCATATATTGCTGGGGTATGATGCCTTTAATTCCTTTGAGAAGATATCAATAAGGGGAATAGCTGGCTCAAATGGGACTGCCAGTCCTAGTTTTTAGGAAGCTTTACACTGATTTCCATGGTGGTTCCACCAGGCTTCTTTCCCACCAACAGTGCAGAAGGGTTCTTTTTTCCCTACATCTCTGCCAGAATTTATTATTGGTTGATTTCTTGGTAATGGCCATTCTTTCTGGTGTGAGAGGAGTCTCAGGATTGTTTTTATTGGCATCTCTTGAATGACCAATGACATTGAGCATTTTTTTCATATGTTTATTTTGCATTTGTACTTCGTCAGAAAATTGTATAGTCATCACAGATGCCCATTTTTTGATTGGGACTTTAAATTTGGGAGGCCTGACTTTTTTCAATTCTTCATATGTTCTAGATATTGCTCCTTTGTCAAGGGGAACAACTGGCTAAAATTTTGGTTGTCTTTTCACTCTGTTGGTTATTTCTTTTGCTGTGCAAAAGCTCTTTAATAAGATGAGATCCCAATTGTTAATGGCTTGTAGTATTTCCTGTGTGATCAGAGTTTTATTCATGAAAGGACTTGAGTTTTCTAATGGTAAACAACAGAATGACTGCGACAAAAGTGACAGGAAATGCGTTTTTCCTTAGAGTCTGTTAGACGGAATGCAACCTTAATTTTATTTCAGAGATACATTAAACTTTTGGCTTCTATAATTACAAGAAAGTAAGCTTGTGCTCTATTTGCTGGACTAAGTGTAGTATGGTCTGGTATGTCAAGAATAGAAAGTAATACAAATATCATATCATCTTGTACCTTGTGGTTTCAAATACTTTGAATACGCCCAAGTTCCCAGCCTTAGTATTTCCAACGGACTTCACATTATAAAAATCCAACTCTTTATAGGCATCTCTGCTTGGCTGATGGATATCCATAACTTGGTGTGTCTATATTTAAATTCTCTATCCTTACATTTGTTTCAGTGACAAAAATATAAATACTACAGTGCCTTCATTATGGTCATGAAGAAAGTCCCTGAGCCACTGTGACCAACATCCCTAAGCTGGACATCTGTAGTAGCCTTTTTTAAGTCCTTAGACCAGCATCCACGATGATCCTTTCAGGGTGTGATCAGCACCTGTCTCTCTTCCTTTAGTGGATAATATTTGCCAAACATAAGTCATTAAGACTGATTTACATGAGTATATAAATGTACAAAACAGACACAGAGAATATTGTAAAACTTAATGCATTTTCTCCTTTAAGATCTTGAAGACCAAATCTTATTTTTAGTAGATCTCTTCAAAATCTTAAAGAAGAGATCATTTTTTTCACAGATATATTTACAAACTTGATAGGAAATAGGAAGATTTTATTTACGATTTGGAAAACTGGACAAAACAAAAAAGGGGAATGAATTCCCCCTTTAATCATCCAGACGATTTGTGAAACTCTCACTTCCCTTTCCTTGGTGAAATCAACTACATTTCTAAGCAGCGTGAGGATGGGAAGGACTTTCATCAGCATTATCACGTCCCTGTACCTGGTGGGTCACACAGAGAGCTGGAGTTGGAGTGACTTCTGGTTCTGGGGGTGCTGTGCTTCTTGTAAGGTCTGTCTCAGTGCCACCTGACAGTTCTGGGGAAAGTGGGACTTTAGGGCTGGGCATATTCTATGTGATTTGGCCAGAGTTTCCTAGATCTGAGAATATCCTACAGAAGGAGGCTGCTGGAGGACTCCCCACCTTGGGCTTTATGATGGCTTCACCAAGCGAGCGTGACTCTGACTATGGCAGGGAAAGTTGGGTTAACAGGCAGGCAAAGGTAAGGTCCTTGGTGAGGTTTCTGGCAAATCCTGACTGGAAAGAGTTAAGTCCCTTCTAGAGAAAGCAAGTAAGAGAAGTAGGGAGAACCAGTGAGCGGCCTGGCTGCTCCCACTTGGTGTGGATGCCCAAGGCCCAATTCTGTCCTCTCCACCTCCAGGGAAGCACAAAGGAGACAAGGTGGGGAGGAGGCAGATTGATAGAGTTCACTTACTGTGTAAAAGATATATATTTGTTCTCACCATGTTCCTGCACTAAAACGTACATGCATTGCTTTACTAATTGCTACCTTGGCCTTCTAGATTGGCCCCATTGTAGGTTTTAGAGATACCACCTTTGCAGGTGCTAAGATGGGTTAAATGAGCTTACCCTGGAATTTGTACCCAGGCAGTAGAGCGGGTCAGTGGCCAAATCAGGGTTCTCAGAGCTGGAAAGAACCAATCAAGTTGTAACAAATTTCAGGGGGCAGAGTCTTTTCCTGGCCGTTACAGGGGCTAAGAACAAAGACCGTTGAGCAGCAGGTCTGGGCTTCCTACCTTCTTCTTAGATGTAGG